CTATATGTCGCATGATCGAGTAGCTACTATATATATTCGGCAGTGTGTATGACATTCGACGCTTGTGTATATCAACTTTCATGTAGTAGATGGAATTTGACATAAAATTGTCTCGTTCAAATATACGATCAACTTGTTATATATAATTTATTACAATATTTGTTCATATTATGAATTGAAACGTCTTTTATGTGCATATGTGCTATAAGAATATAAAAATAAAATCTATTAAAAATTATAGCAAAAGATTTTCGTGGTTTCAAAAACATATCTTTATAAGCATTCCGTTGTACATATCTTTCAGGAAAATTGAAAAGCAACTTCTAAACTAATATTTTTACTTTTCACGAATATTTCTGTAAATAATGCTCGCATTAAGATAAATTCTGTATACAAGTGAGTCGAGAAACGATTTATCTCAACGGGATGTACACTTCGTGTTATCGGATTATTATTATCTTTACGCCTCCCGTCGATTGACGTGCAAGGTGGATATATAAAGATGAAATCTCGCGAACATAATCTCGCACGTTCCGGATAAATACAAGTATTATAAAGTATCTACCTGCGTAGATATGTATAGCTACATACATGTACTTTACGAATGCCGGATCTACGTATCAAACATGTTTTTTGCACTTGCGTTTGTTCACAGATTCAGTCTTATTTAAAGCGTGAATAGAATTCAAGGTCTTGCCAAATGACTTCTCTAAAATAAAGCGTTAAAAATGTGTTTTTTAATGAATATGAAAAGAAAAAATTTGGAACGAATCAAAACAAAGACTAGGAAGATTTTGTAATTTCGATAATAATTTGCATTGTTGTTTTCTGTGCGTTTTGCTTGCATCATATTTGTCGACACGATATCGAATTGACGAAGATATCCGTAATGTATTAGCTAGACATTTTAGTTGTATTATTTTCAACATTTCGACTTTGGACTATTATAACTTTTTTTCTACAGCACCTATTGTAAAAACAAGCATACTTTTCTTATATAATTTGGGTATGCGCTATCGATTGAGCCTATTATCAACTCAATCGGCCCAGCCGTTATTGAGATCCGATAATCTCGGCTCGTCTGAAATATCGGGCTCGCGTAAAGAGACACGGTCGGTCTTGCGCCTGTGTTGCGCGCTGCGCGTGAACTTGGCGCGAGATACTACCGTGTTTCTTGATATTACTAACATTCTATCATTATCTGTTAAATGAAAGTTTAAATGACAGTTCTTCAGCATATAAATACACGTGTGCAATTTTTATCGATACACAACATCCGTTATGGTCCACCCACATTTATGTCCGTTTCGGGTATTTTAATCGTAGGGCTCTTCCTGACAAAGCGCAAAAAATCATTTTGAAAGATCACAATACGAGAGCAAAATTAATGGCGAATGTCGGGCTTATCACGTCGGCGCGTAATCATAAAGATATCAAAACCGGATCTGCCAGAAGTTAAAAGAGTGATACATTAATCTATGCGCGTATTTTTTTCTGCATAAAAATTTATATGGGGTATATATATATCTTTTAACACAATGCGTGAGAGAGAAAGAGATTCCTTCAATGTTTATTCATACAAGAAAGCATCCTATATCCGGATGCTGTTATTAATCGGTAATGTTATCCGGGCAAAATGCGACTCACAATATATGTGGCTAATCAAATATCGGAAACGCGCAGAATTCCATCCTCGATATGACAAACGGAAAGATTAAAAGGGTAAATACACGATAATATGAATAAGATATGTTAAAAAATTTGTTCAAAGAACTACAGAGATATACATGCACGAGTTTTTATCCATCTTCAGATTGAGATCACTCTATGTAATGAGTAATATTACATTGCTTAAAAAAATTCGTAATCAAAATATATTCAACTTAATTATTTTTTTAGACGCTGTATGATTTCGAAGTAATTTTTTGATAATATGATGAAAATTTATCTGTGCAGACGAGTAATTAAGAATAATTTTAAAATTTCCGAAAATCGGATTTCGTAAACAGAATTATAGATTATAAAACAAATAAAAATAAAAATAAAATTAATTAAAGATAAGCGTTTAAGAAAAATACGAGAAAATATTACGATGCGAGCGTTGCGATATTTCCGCGAGTGATATCTTTCCTATAGCGTCCTCTCGAATCGTGGGAACTCTCCATCGTACGTTTACTTGCCGTGCAACCATCCGCGTCCATATTTGACTATCCGCAAAAACACGCTCTAGCATTCTTCCGTCTGTTCAGCCTGATCAGGCGTTCAAGTTTCGTTTTTCTTCTAGTCCCTAGATATCTCAAAATATTTCTAGCATAATCAAGCATTTACGTTACTTTTTTACGCGTTGCATATGTAATCGATAAACATTGTTAAAAGTCTCTCGCGATAATAGAAAAATAATATGTAAATTTTATTATAATATTGTTTTTGTAAAAAATTTTTATCGATGTTCCGGCCGTGAGAAATTAATGAGAAATTTAATGTAAAAATTTGCTAGTGCTTTGAGAAAATATATTTAGAGAGACGATAATATAGAGAATGTCGTATAATTTGCAAATCATACTAATTAATACTAATTAATTCTTAAATACCGTTGCAGAAAATAAAGTTTTATATTAAATTTGAAAAAGAAATGTAATTAATAAAATAATCATAATATTAATTATAAGACGTAAATTTAATCGGTTTCGTAATTATGAAGCAATGATTTATGATTATTTATGATATGATTTATTGACAAGCGCGGTATTTAAAGAATCCAACCATATTTTCAACACAAATTGGGGGAAATAACCGACGAAATAATCTTTACACGTTGGTTAAATACGATTAGGTTAGCAATTTACGACGATGTTTTATAATATATACATCTAAGTCAATAACGGGAAGTTAATTAAGGCTTGCGCGATTATTTATCGTTCTTTCACCAGTTCCTCGGAAGATATCCGCAACGCACCAGGCGATAAAGCCAACCATAAACATGAACCATGCGATTATGGTCTTGTTCTTCGCTTCCACGGTCCGGTTAGGTCACGTATTTCTTTTTTGCACCTTTCATCTCTCATCTTTCATTCTTGAGCAACAAGATGTGTCCCGAGTATGACGCATCCACTATTTAGTTAGGACGATCACGTCCGCTTTCGGTAAAGCCTTTGATAGGTGCAGCGTGCGCGGGCTAATCGCAACAAATCGCCGATAATGCAACCCGTTAATTGTTTCGCACGATGCGCGCAACGATCGCGATGTGGATATGTTTACCGCGTTATTGCAGATAATTATCTCGTTCGCATACCAAACTGCGCGAGCTGCTTGTGTATTAACGGATTACACAATCCGTTTCGGTCATGCAAGAATTTCATTCGTGGCGTGTCGTGTCGCACTTCGTACATTAACGCACCGCATGATTGGAATATCTGATTCGATAAAGTTTTATCACGCGGTATGCTACGTCGCACATTTTACCATAAATATTTAATTGCAAGATGTACATTCCAACATGTAAATTGAATTTTTTATTATAATATTACAAGATAAATTCTACTTAATTATGCAGGCTGTTCCGCATTTTTATGTCAACTTTGATATCGGATTCTTGAAGCGATTATGAGATATGCATTATATGCGTTTGATTTTCAAGCATTACAAATGTAAAAGAATTAGTGACAACTCTTTCAAGCTACCTAAATATAAACTGACAAAACGTTTATTTATAAAATAAATTTTGCAATAATATATATTTAAGTATTATATATAAAAATTTAACAATAAGAATTTTTTATTTTTAAATCAGTCACAAAGCAACAGTAATTATTTTTATTACTTAGAATAACACGAAGAATTTCTCTGTGTTAATTTAACGGTAATAAAAACTTGCAATTTGCAACTTGAACTCTGAAATATGTTTTATGTAAATGTTTTTGCACAAATTGATTAGCTTCATCAATCAGCACAATATGTGAAGCAATAGAAACCCACGATTGGAACGATCTCGTTGACGATCAATTTTCTTTTTCCGCGTAATTTCTTGTCGTTTGAGTTTTTTCCGCAATCTAAGAGAGATATGTTTTATATACGAAGCGGGAAAGATCTTTAAGGTCTTTTTTGCCGCGCCACGATCCAATTACCGACAGACTCGCGCGCCCATTAACGTGAAGCGTGTTTCGTTTTCCTGTTCCAGTCACAATCATGGTATGACACACTAGATTGAGGTAGCCAGTCTATAAACGACCACCAGCCGCCGCCGCCGCCGCCGCCATGAGCAAGCTATTTCAATTTCTGGCTCTCCTCCTGTGTGTCAATGCCAGACGGACGGACGGAGACAGACCTGCGGATGACGCGTACGCCGGTCAGCAGCGTCGCGGCGCCCTTCACAAGTCGAATTACAACAGCAATAATAATTACAATCACCAGTCGAACTCACCCTATCTGCCGTATCAGCAGCCCCGAGAGAGAAAGCCCAACATCGTGTTGATTCTGACGGACGATCAAGACGTCGAGCTCGGTACGTAGAGAACGCGTCGCGGCTCGTTACACCATCGGATTATTTATTACGCCATATTACCGGTATATAAATGCCTACGTGATACATAATGCCACTTTGTTTATTGCGTGCGGCAGCCGGCTGGCGCCTTATCTTACATTATTCGTCTCAAGTCCTCGCGCAGGACCATGCACGCTCCGAGATATGCGCGACGCGTATCCAAAGAGAAACGTGTGCAGTTTCATCTTTAATGTTGCATAGTAGCATGCGCATGTTTATTCCGCTACAATTCGTCTTTTGCACAGAGTGAAACGTGATGTCTTCGAAGAAAATATTTCTCCGTAGCAAAATTTTAATTAGACATCTTTTCGACAGTTTACTTCATTTTTAATATTGAATCGAGAGAATATCAAAGTCTGTCAAAGACAGTCAATAATTTATTTGAAATTTAACAAGGAATCGAATTTTTTTATTTCTGAATCTAAGATTAGTTTTCGAGAAAGTATACATTTTTCAGTTATTATATATATAACTCGTTAAAAAAGCTGGACTCAAATATATATATATATTGTATGATTCATGATAAGTGAAGACGCTGCTGTCGAAATATTCTGTATAGTAAGCGTCTATGCCGGTACGCTGTTCGCATCAGCACAGTAAACACTGTATATAAAGCCAGAGCGGTTAGCCGATCGCGGGACAATGGACGCGACTCGGTGCGCGTATACAGATTGTGACTGAACAAATGTTTGACTATATCCAAAATGATCCCTCAGGTTCGCTGAACTTCATGCCGCGGACCCTAAGGCGAATAAGGAATGAGGGTGCCGAGCTAAGACACGCGTACGTGACCACTCCCATGTGTTGCCCGAGTAGGAGCTCCTTACTGACCGGTCGTTACGTTCACAATCACGAGGTCTTCACGAACAACGACAACTGCAGCAGTCCCCAGTGGCAACGGGATCATGAGCCTCACTCCTTCGCCGCTTACTTGAGCAACGCGGGATATCGGACAGGTAAGAAGTCTCCACTATTCATCCTACTATAAGCCTGTTGTTTGTTGATTGCGCTCTCTCTCTCTCGGGAATTTCTGCTGCGCGAAAATTGCACGAAATTATACACGCTCTTCTATCAGAATAATAAACGCTAGCAATATAGAACATTAAAGGCACAAGACGCGTCAATCGAATCTTTGATATATTTTTTTTTTATTAAATCCACCCTTTTTAGCGAAAATTTTGGACCGTCGTTGTTGCATTGTTTAAATTTTTTTTATAATTATAAAAGAGAGATATTTTTTTAAATCAGCCTAGTGTGATAGAACGATAGTAAAAGGATATTAAAACTTTGAACGGCACTTGCTCTCTAAATTAGCGAAGAAGAAGAGACGATTAAGAATAGTCTTGACAGAGCTATTTCTTTTCAGTGCTTATATTTATTAGCGTGATACACAAAATATAGAGAATAGACGCTTTATTGCGCGCTGCATTGTAACACACATTACTCGACCTCTGGTCGCATAAACGCAATCAGGATAATCGAGGCACATTCAATTGATGTGAGGTTTCTATTTACCTCCCTACCAGCACAATGCGCTTTATGCGTAACTGGAGTCAAGTATGGTCAGCGATAAATCCTTGTTACATAAGGCAGCGCGAGTCATTTAGGCCGGGATTTTCAATTAGAGTAACTCAAAACCCTGCCTTTTTTCCTTTCCTTTTCCAACTAATTTTACATCGCATATGAATCAACGTCGTAACGGAGGCTTGATACTTCGTGTATCATTAATCGAGGCGAGTCGACGTTCCCTACTTAAATAATCGGGCGCATGTGCGCCGCCCGCGGGCGCATTCTTGCAATTAAAATCCCGATTAATCCGCTCTCATCCCCTCGACGTTTCATTCTTGACGACGACGGCGCTCCGATTTTCATTCCGCGCTCGTATAATTGCGATCCCCGACGACACTCGCGTATTCGGTTGCGTTCGTAGGACGAATATGGCGATACGATCTTGTGGCGCGGAATTCCCGTGCTTCGATCCCGCCAAGCTGGTTCGCCCCGCGCCGTCCAACCGCAATTGTTCGGTGTTCTGCAGGTTTCCTTTCTCCCGCCGTTCAACAAATCTTCACGGCCCGCAGAGAACGCTCTTCGCCGCACGACCAAAAGCGGTCGCGCGAAGCGTCGCACCTGCGCTCGCGATACGCGATCGATCGCCGGCGGCGATTACTCAAAATCCAAACGTGCGGCTCGACCAGTTTGATATTATAGCGCGGTCCGCGTTTTAGTTGCGTCAGCTGATCGCCACAGATTTCCGAATTCTCGTACATCATCCGCGATTCCACCGTGCATTCATCTCGAACCGAATTGTGTCTGTAAATTCGCGTTTCGGTGTATAAATGCGTTTGAAGCTCGATGTGTGTAGCAGCAATGACGCGTCGGATAATCATTTATTCTCTTCGACATCGATATGCGCGCATTTTCGTTTCACACAGCAAATTTGTCGCACGATACTTTAGATCGAATCCTAATTGAAACTTTAATTCCGGCGAATTTAACGAGCTTATGCTGGATCATGGCTTGCAAAAAGATGTTACTTATGCAAGATCACACCGGGCGATAAGCAGTAGCCGCGTTGTGAACTGCAAAATTTGCCGTGTTTGCGCTCGCGGTTTACGAGGTATCCCGTGTGTGACACCTGACGACACTAGTGCAGCATAATACAGCGGATACATCGGTTGTGACACACGCGCAGACGCGCCTCGTCGTGTTTATCGAGACGCGCACAGACGTAATAAGACCTGCCTCCGTAATCCACGACGGATATGTCGCGGGCTTTAACACGTCATATTGCATTACGACCGGCGATTTCTCTTATCGTAGAAAGGGCATAAGACGCGTCAGCGTGTCGGCGATGTCGAGACATTCTTGACAGACCGTAAAACGTCGCCGCCACGTGTTGCGGAGATAAACGTTCTTCCTCCGGTGAACGAGCTTGGATACGCTACAGAATTATCGGGAAGCGATTCGTATCCCCCAGAGATCCGTTACCAATCGCTCCGAGTTTTAAAATGTCTATCAACTTCAAGATGCGGTTTAAACTATTCTCATACCGTTTCTAGATTCTGTTTCTAGGAAAGAGAGATGGAGAATCGATTAAACTTCAGTAGAAGATAACTAACGTCGGTAAAATGGAAATACAATATACATATATGCAAGGAATACAAGGAAAACGCAAGAACACAGTCCGTGCCGTGTGGCGCAAAAATCTTCTCGCAATTGCGGGACCAATCGATGCGCTTACTCGGCGATGCCGGGTTTTGTGCAGGAGTTCGATCAGAGAGCGGGGACTCTCTTCTGTCGGACTTCTTTTTCTCATTCGTATCTTCCTTTCCGTTGCGTCCGCGCTCTCATACGTTGCGTCTATCTGAGACCATATTCGCGACGGTAGGACGTTGCTCCCTGAAAGCGCGATCAGACTCCCGATCTCGTCAGTCAGGCCTCAGACTGACGGCCTTCTAAAAATCGCAATGCACGATAGCTCGTGCTCTCTCACTTCCGCGAAGATGCCACTGCGTCCGAATGAAGCCCCGAAACTTTGGATTGCGCTTGAAGTAAAAGCGCTTGAAGCAAAACTGATTGCCGTGATATGCTATCTTGTTTTATAATGTTTTTTTCAAATGTATAATCAATTCGCGAGATTTCTCGCTTTTATAGGTTCATACATTACGCGAGCATATATTTCCATTAAACAGCACGCGAAACTCGTCTCGATATTACAAATCTTATACGATCTAATCAAATCGAGTCTTTCTCTCGCTCTTGCTATATTCTTGCGTAATATTTCGCAGGATATGAAACGTTATCGCGTTATTAAATGCGCCAAAATGTGCAAAAATTATGAAATCTTTATCTCAAGTACACTTTTCGTAAAATGGCCAATTACTATTCAATATAAACAAAAACATAACGTTGAATTAGATTAAAATTTATATTTTATAAGAGAACATTATATGCATTTAATTTTCTTATAAATTTATAGCATTTATAAATAACTTTCCACAAATAGATATTTAAATTTAATCGTGCTGCAATTGTAAATAAAAAATTATCCATTCGATTCCGAAACGAGAAGTAGTTTAATGAAGGTACGAACATACGTAAAAACTCTGCAACAAATTTCTCGATAACCGAACAGCAAATGATCATCTCGATTCTGCAAGAGAACATGTTTCGCAAAGTACTGATCGGTGGTTGCGCATAGGGAGAGGAGAGAACTCGTTTCGTTATCGCCACCTATTACACAGGGTGTCCCTGACCAGAATTCCGAGACTGGCCGGGCGACAAATTTTCTTTGTTATCTTCGCGAGAGAATCTTGTCACGAGTACATACGTTGTTCGATCTTACTATGAAGGTGCGTTCGTGACTTCGAATGAGTAGGAAGAATCACAATTGTTAAATTAATTTAAAAATATAAGATGTGGAAGAATTTATATGGCGAGCGAACATAAATTTATATATATTATTTTTATCCCAGAATATTTCAAATTTCGTTCACTCTCATCGCGTTCATGAATTCTCTGATTAAAGTCTTTCCTTATCGAAAGTTTGATTTTATCATATAATTTTAAATACTCCTTCGTATATATAATATATATATATATATATATACTTCTATCACCTTTTAATAGTGTTAATTTATTTTCCAATTATATTATTATATTGTATTGTATTATAATTTGGATTTATGATTACGAAAATTTTATATTTATTAAAATTTTTCAAATCTAAGTGATTCTTTCTCTATTAAGTACATATTTTATAATAAAATTTTTATAATAAAAATTATATTAATCTATAGCTGAAGTAGAGATAAGTGCAAATATTTAAAACAAAGAGTTTATACATTAGTATACATAATATATTCGATAGTTCTTAAATATAAGTTATGTTTGTTTCAGTTTATGCGGGGACTTGCAGAAGTGCAAGTTCCCTTCAAAAATTGTAACAGTAAATCTTGCAATGACATATTTTGTGTACTTCGATATTATAATCTGTTGATCAGATTTTTGAATACGAGAAATTGTATGTCTAACTCCATCTAGTGTGTGGAAATTGACATAACTCAAGATATAGATATATGTATGTATATACTGCTAATATTATCGCAGTCGAGCAACTTCTACATATATTTGGCAGTACGTATGTACATTCTTGTGTATATTAATTTTCAAATATTACATGGAATTTGACATACGTACTTTTTCATATTCAAGAATATCGTCAGCTAGTTATAATATATACACGAAGTTATATTATAATATACACAAAGTTGTAATATAGTTATAACATACATGAAGAATAGCGAATTTTTATCTTTCTTTTTATCTTTTATTAAAGCATCTTTGTATATATATAGTATAGAAACTTTATTAATATGTAGAATTCAAGAAAAGAAAGCAGGCAATATTCTGAAATCATAATTTTCGCCAAAACATTGGCGAAAAATTGAGTTCAACATTAAAATATATAATATATGCGTGTTTATGCGTGTAGCTCGCATAGTGCAAATCCCCGTAGTACAAAAATTATATACGGAATTCAGTGAAAAATGCATAATTATAAAGCGTTTGTATATTATAAGTTTTAATAAGATCAAAATATAAAAAAACAAAGTTGCTTTAATAAAAGATAAAAAGAAAGATAAAAATTCGCTATTCTTCATGTATATTATAACTATATTACAACTTCGTGTATATTATAACTTCGTGTATATATTATAATTAGCTGACGATATTCTTGAATATGAGAAAGTACGTATGTCAAATTCTATATAATATTTGAAAATTAATATACACAAGAATATACATACGTATTGCCAAATATATGTAGAAATTGCTCGATTGCGATAATATTAGCAGTATATACATATATCTATATCTTGAGTTATGTCAATTTCCACACACTAGATGGAGTTAGACATATACAATTTCTCGTATTCAAAAATCTGATCAACAG